TGGAGGTGAATATCGTCGTTTGTCTCGAATGCTTGTTGAAGCTGGAATCTCTCATCGTAACTCCGAACAGAATGGTGTCGTGGAACACAAGCATAGGCATATTGTTGAGTTGGAATTTTACTTGCACAAGCATCCATGCCGACTAATTATTGGTCATATGCAGTGTTATGGTTGTGAACTTGATCATAGACTTCCTTCTAGGGTGTTAAATGGTCAATCACCCTTTGAGTGCATGTTTAACAAGAAGCCCGATTATGGGTTGCTCAGAGTTTTTGGGTGTCGATGCTTTCCTCATCTTAGACCATTCAATGTTCACAAGCTCGACTTTCGATCACAACCGTGCACATTCTTGGGTGTGAGCTCTCAACACAAAGGCTTTCTGTGTTTAACACCTGATAAGCGTGTTGTTATATCTCGTCATGTGAGATTCGATGAGTGGCATTTTTCATTTGCCACTAATTAGCCTATTGTACAGCCATCACTCGGGTTGCTCTGAGTAGATCTCTTGATGTAGTAATGGATAAAAAAAAGTTGTATACTGGCGATGCTCCAGTTCCAGCCATTTCTCAATCGCCTATTGGAAATACTGGACATTCCACTACACATTCAGTTTCAGACAATGAGTCTACTGCTATGACTGAATTTCCAAGTGCTAGTCAAGAAGATCTGACGATTGCTCAAGAATATCCTGCGGTAGCTGAGGATACTCAGTCAATACCGAACATGGGTTTGATGCCTGCTACTAATATCGAACCAGCAGTTCGTATTGGTCATCCAATGCAGACTCGTAGTAAATGTGGCGTGTTTAAGCCAAAGGTATATACTACATTCCTTGATGATGTTGTACCAACCATGATTGAAGAGGCTTTTCAATCTGCTGCATGGACTGAAGCAGTACACGTTGAATACTCAGCCTTACTTGACAATGAAACATGGATATTTGTTCCTTTACCTGCTGATAGAAATCTGGTAGGATGCAAGTGGCTTTTTAAACTCAAACAAAATCCTGATGGATCAGTGCTTCGATACAAAGCTCGACTGGTTGCAAAAGGATTTAAACAAGTTCCTGGTCTTGACTTTCAGAACACATTCAGCCCGGTTGTGAAATTCTCAACAATGTATGTACTTTTGACCATGGTTGTTGCTCAAGGATGGGTCTTAAGACATGTTGACATAAATAATGCTTTCTTAAACGGTGACTTGCATGAGGATGTGTATATGCAACAATCACCGGGGTTTGTGCAGTGTGCTTCAGATGGTACACCACTGGTATGTAAGCTAAAAAAAGCTCTTTATGGTCTACGCCAAGCCCTACGCAATTGGAAAGAAAAACTTAAAGCAAACATGTTGGATTTCGGGTTTGTTGAATCTAAGGCAGATGTGTCTCTCTTTGTCAGGATTCAGGGTGATTGTTATACATATGCCCTAGTGTATGTCGATGACATTTTAATAACGGGCACGTCAACTGAAACTGTTAATCAAGTTGTTCGTATGCTTAGCTCTCGTTTTTCCCTTAAAGATCTTGGTGAGCTGTCTTTTTTCGTGGGGATTGAAGTTAAAAGAATTGCGTCTGGCCTTGTTTTAAGTCAGAAATCTTATATTTGTGATCTGTTGAAGAAAACAAATATGTCTCAAGCAACACCTGTGTGCACTCCGATGGTTACTGCTACAAAAACTAATGATCAAAGCAGTCCTTTACTGGCTAATGCACGTGAATATCGTAGCATTGTGGGAGCACTTTTGTATGTCTGCCATACTCGACCGGACATAGCATTTGTTGTTAATAAAGTAGCCCAGTATATGCAGTCTCCTCGTGAAATACATTTGGTAGTAGTTAAACGAATCATGCGTTATTTAGCAGGATCATTGGATCATAGGCTAGTGTTTTCAGACAGTGATGCTAGGTTGTGTCTTAAATCTTTTTCCGACGCAGATTGGGCTGGTGATGCCAGTGATCGTAGGTCGATGTCAGGGTATTGTGTCTTTCTTGGAGGTTGCTTGGTTGCTTGGAATTCCAAGAAACAAAGACTGTATCTCGCTCAACGATGGAAGCAGAATACAGAGTGTTGTGATTCGGCTACTGAAATCACTTGGCTTGCTGCTCTACTATGTGATCTTGGGTTGTCATTGCGTGATGTACCTGTGATTTGGTGTGATAACACGAGTGCTGTTGCTTTGAGTATAAACCATGTGTGCCATGCTCGGTCCAAGCATGTTGAATTGGATGTGCATTTTATCCGAGAGAAGATTGCAGCTGGTACTCTTCGAGTCAGTTATGTTCCTGCTGCGTTTCAAGTAGCTGATGGGCTTACCAAGCCGTTGACCAGACCAGCGTTTGAGCGGTTTCGCGAGAAGCTACGTGTGTTGTCTTGTTAAAGAAGGGAGGAAGAAGAAGCGGGGAGAATGTTGAGATATATGAGGCAGCTGAGGGTGTTGTTCGTATGATTCAGTAGTTTATGCATGATTTACATGGGAATTGATTGTATCTAATAAATATAGCTTTGTATACGTGTCAAGGCTGTTAGAGAATTATTCTAGAATTTGTTAGTTTGTTAAAGTTGTTAAGAGCTTGCTATAAGAAGCTAGCTCAGGTGATGTATTTTGCATGCTCAATGGAATATCATTGATACTCTGTTTGTTTTCTAGCTTTGCCCACTACAATATGCTTAACACTCCATTACAACTTGTTTTTATTCCCATTTCTTTCATCGAGCTATCAAGGCTTACAATACTGGAACTCAGGAACGTCGAACGATCCATGGTGATGATTAGAAGAAGAACATGACACATGGATACAAATATTTAGAACTCTCACGTAGATATGACGAGTTCTAATAAAATATATATTTTTTATTGAAATTTATCATTTTAATGTGAAAAAATCTAATAAAATATATATATTTTTAGAATTTATTACGAATTTTTCCTGCATAATAACATTTAACGTAAGCCTCAAATTAATTTTGAAGGTGATTTAATGGATCAATTTTTTCCTCGCTTGACCTATTAGGTAAAGTTTACTTTATCTAACCCTACATATATTATTGTGACGTATGATATTGATTTTGATAGTCCCATTTGTGTGTGGTTGCAAAAACTTTATTGGTACTTTGCATGCCTTCTCGGAAAATCAATATTATAGAGAACAAAATAGAAATCAACCCATTCCAAGTAAAGCCAATCATATGGACCCCTCTTCCTGTGGATTAATTTTCAACCTATCAAACCATCTTCATTTCACAAATTCATAAATTATATACTTTCAACCTACCAAATGATGTTAATTTGAAAAGTTCATGAATTATTTATGTATTTTATTTTAATATTATATGTTAATGAGAGAAATAGGGTGGTGGTGCTTTTTGTTACATTTCATTCACTCTAATTGTGTGAGAGTTACATACAATTATTCAACATAGTAATTTACGTACATATTCTTATTGTTAATGTCATACTTAGAGTAATAAAAACTATTTATAGATTAATAAAATAAATATATTTAGATGTCAGATAATAAATTTAATTAATAGATTAATTATGTTAAAAATTATAACGGACTAGATGATATAAAAAACTTCAAATACGATAAATAAGAAAGGACAACAGAGATGTAATTTATGAAAAAGTCTAAAAAAATATAATATATATAATATTATTGGATTTATTGATAATATATGTACTACAACATACATTTTATAATCGAAATTTTTCCTATTTTGAAAAATGTTGGAGTGGGTCTTCCCAAGGCAAGACAAGGTCCTAAACGAAAAGAAGGCGACACTTCCATTGAGATGGATATGACATGGACTTTTTTAACATAAAGTTTTGGATTCATGCACCAACTCCATAACTTGTGAGTTCAAACTTCAACGAAGCCATGCCCCACGGCCCCACACAAATTAGGGATTTATGGTGTGTTTGGTTCACGGAATGTAAGATTATCAGTGGGAATAAAAGATTAATAGGGAATAGGATTACTGGGAATGTTACATTACTTTGTTTGGTTGGTTTGGTAAGAATGTAAGATTGCAGTGTTTGGTTGAAGAAATAAAATATTATTGAAATATATATTTTACCAAATTGTCCTTGGTCTATATTTTTTAACAAGTGAAATTTTAAATATTTAAATAAAAATTATTTATATAAAAATTTTATCTGTTGATAATATATTACTTGAGTATTTAAATATATCATGTATTATTTTAATTTTAATTAATATTAAATTTTACATAATTTATGTAAAAATATATTAAAATTTTACATCAACATTTTACTAAATGTTTATATTGTGGAAACTAGTTTCGGTTCATACGTGACGTATTCACTGGGAGGTTTTTTATATTTTTCAATCGACAAGGTTTACATTCTTCTATATACAATAATTTGTCATAGATATTCATAATAATAAAAAGATGTAAATTATTTTTGTTATCTAAGATATAATATTTATTATATCTTCTATATACAATAATTTATTTATTTATCTTTTATATTTATACTTAATTCTGCATACTATATCATTATTATTTATCTCATGATTTTATATTACAAAAACATAATTCAAATAAGTAAGAAAATATAACACTAAAAATCATATTGTAGCTTTTTCTCTTTTCTTGTTTGTTAATTACCATATTTTGTCATGTCGTGGTTACAATATGATTATTCTTTTAAGTGAATCCAAGACTTACCACCACCAAAAAGTGATCTAAATATCAGTTTTAGATTGTGGGTGTATTTTAAGATGTGAGGTTTTTTGATAAGGTGATGAAAATATCTTTTCTCTTCCTTCCCTCTTTTGAAAGAATCGACATGTTGCTAAAAGAAGCAACATCAATTAACTGCTAATGGTAATGGCACTGCTGTAGGTTTTTTTTTGTTTCAGGGTTGAAAAGGTGAGGGTGGTTCATATATTAAAAGAGTTCACAGTTGCAGAATTTGAACTTTAGTGAGAAAAAGAAATTTCTGAAATATATAGCTTTGGCAAGCTATCCATCACTTTCATACTGATTCCTTTGTAGGTGTGCTATGTGTCGTGATGGCCAGCCTGCTTCACATTCACCTGATTTGCGATGTTCATCTTGAGATTCTAAGTTCGAAATATGATAAAATTCACCCTTTATTGTTTTATTAATATATAGGCTTGTTTAGATGTATTATTGTGCTGAAACCTTGGCATGCAGGTGATTGCTCTGATAGAGGAACTGCTTGAAACTGCGAAGCAAAATGAGATTTCTGGATCAGATATTGGGGCTAGTATTAGTGCACCCGCTGCTCAATTGAAGGTGATTAAATTGCCTAATGAATCATAGATTTACTTCTGTAGTTACTTTTGTTTGTCAGAAGCAATACTTTATTCACAAAGGCAAGCTTCTTATTTGAAACAAGAACTTTATTTCCTCTTTTACAATTTATGTAAATGTATATATATGGGATGTCACAGATTACTGCCATATTTTGTCACATAACCCGTCTTGCCATATGAATGTATTTAATGCAAGAAGTTACTTGAACTTTGATTGGATTCCAGGCTTACCTGAAAGTCTGGAACACGAGGACTGTTATTATCCAATATCTTGAAAACCTTTTCAGCTGTGATTTTAAGAGTGTTAATGACAAAACTATCACATTATTTGTAAGCCATATACTACAAACAACTGTTGCAGCAGAAATTAGCCACGATAATTTTGACAAGACTATCCAAGATACCGAATAGCAGATATGAACTCATCCATACCGAATACAATTTTATAAGCTTACATTCTTTGTTTAGCTTACATAACAAAAGGAAGTATAACATTAACCATCAAAAGTTTGTACAATGTTCAGACTTACAAAAGATAATAGCTAATGACATACAGGTTTTCACCTGGTCCGTGCTGCAAACTTGCCAACTTCTATTAACGTAGGCCAAAGAAGCCAAAGCCCATTTAATCAAGCTTTAACTGAGGACATACCAGTTTTTATTCTTTTTTCTAATTTCAAGTAAATGTGGTTATTAAAGTGTGGCTTGCTTGAATAGAATAAGCAAGAAATGATGTTAAAAAAGTATATTCCTATTCATTCATACCATGCACTGCTTGTTAATTGGTTTCTTTTTTTTTCTTTTCGCATACTAAGGGGGTTTTTAGATTAATATGGATCTATATGTAATCTAGATATGGAAAATTGATTGGCGAGCTTGTGGCAAATGCCACCTGGACATACTTCCAGGGAGAAAAAACCAAAACTAATTGGATTCCAACAGCAAAGGCAACAAGTGGTGGTAGTGGAGAGCCATGGCGCACATTATATGGTTAAATGTTTTAGGTTCTTGCAGGAAGCATAAACTGAGATTGAACATGTGAGTGGGTGCATATTGTAGTAAAAACTAGGGGCCCTATTTGTCGGATATAATACAAGTTGCAGTCAGCAGTGGCTTAAAATAGTTGAAAACTGATCTTATATGTTCCATATTTGTGTGATGAATCAAACAAGAAGGAAGTTCAGTTCCTGAAAGGTGTTCAACATATTGATATGTGATCTAACATGTGTCTTGAATGATTATCCTACAGACCCCATCCATTATTTCTTTCAGGATAGGATACCTTTATACCTTTCTTCAAATCTTCAAAAGAGGTCTGAGATGACTAGCTGAGAATTTGAATTGTTATGTTATTGGTTATTTAGCATATTTGGTTTCATATATATATAGGAATAACTTACAAGGCATACAGTTCTAGATGCATAATTGATATTATCCCCTAATGCTGGATGCATAACTGAAACTATCGCCTAATGCATAAAATTTAGAAGAGGTGAAGCGACTTTATTTGATATGAGGCCTCTAAAATTCTCTCTAACATATTCTGCAACAACATCTCTAGAACTAACTGAGTATGATTTATCTGGAGGCCTCAACATTAAGAAGTATTTTTTTATATAAAAAAAGAAGGTTGAAGGAAGGATATGCTGCATGTCTAACTAATCAGATGATATTGTACCATCCATTCATAATAATCCTAGAAGATTCTCAAGCTAATCAAAAGTATGATTTGTTCCTTTCTTTTTTCCCTGTTGTCCAATAACACAATTTGTAGTTTAATATAACTTATCATTGAAGAAAGTGCAAAGTAAAACTCTCACTATAATGTGACAAGAAAAAAAGATAATGCCAAATGAGGCAAGCCAATCCTTTTATTCTCATATATATATATATGAAACCAAATATGCTAAATAACCAGTAAAAGAACAATTCAAATTCTCAGCTAGTTGTTATCTCAGACCTATTTTTCAATCCATGCATCAGCACAAGATTCTCCCGAGTAAACTATATTGATGCTGAACATTGGAAATTATTAACATCAGAAATCAAAGTTTAATCTTATGTGCTATGCAAGTCCTCAGCTGGTCAAGTAAGGAATTATTCTTTTGTTTCTTATGATTAACCATGAATGTTTCACCATATTAAGATAGTAAAAAGTTAATAGAATACAAGCTACAGAAGAAAAACAATATGTTCTTAAACTAAGTAGTTATAAAAAAACTTTCTCAACAATCACTTCTAAGGAAACAACGGAAATATAAAGTAGTTTTAAGGCTAAAAATCGGAAATAAGCATATATCTATTTTTTCTCAGCGAAATAAGCATCGAGTGAATCGAATTTTACACATACTAGGATATTTTTGTCATAAGCAACTTAAATATAGTTCAGGGAAATGCTGCAAAAGGTTAATACTACTATTGTGTACCTCATTCTGTCCTTCCCAACAAAAGATGCTCCATCACAGTACCGTACCTTCACTTTGTTCCAGTTGTAGAAATTTGCGGAACACAAGAGGCCCCATTCAAAAATTCAACATAAATACTTGCTCAAAAAGAAAAGGTTAAGATGGGACTATAAGTACAAACCAGGGTTTTCTTCAGCTTTATAGCTTAAAATTCCAGTGAAATTTATTTGCTTCTACATAAATTTTGATGAACCACGTCAAGTAGTCTTGTGAAAGACATAACTTCTAATGGTATTACACCATCCACCTCCTTGAAACAAACCATCCATTCCGGTAAAGTGATTAAAACTAGCTATAAGGAAATCAAACAACTGAAGGTTCTATCTTCTCCCTTTTCCTATCCAAATTCTCGCCGTGTAATTGAACTCAAATTCTTGAGCACAAATTACGACTAACAATTAAAAAGAAAATTAACAAAAACCCAAACATCCAACAAATTCATATAAGAGATGTTAAAAGTAAAAGGCAGAAAAATAGTTTATTTAGCTTAATTAACAACAAAATACAACTTTGGAACTAAATGCATGCTAGAATTAAATTAGCAAATAAGAAGTTTCAAACTTTATTGAAATTCAACATGAGAAAAAAAGACCCAAACCTCAAAAAGTCATTTATTTCCTCTATTTTCTAATAGAAAAGGGAAATCAAAGAAGAAGAATAAAACAACTCTCTCTGTAAAGTTCCAAAGCAAGCTAACGGGGAGAAGCAAGCTAACGGGGAGAAGTAAGCTAACGGGAAGAATGCAACAACTCTCGCCAAATCGAAGAAGATGCAATGTTTTCCTTCGTAGAAACAAGCTAACAGGGAGAATGGTATTTTAGCCAAGAGGGACGGAAATGTTCAAATACCTAAGGGAACTGGGGGACTTCCCAGTAAAACAGGGGAAAAAACTATTGTGGGTATTCAATGTTTACCCTCATTTGGGAATAATAACCATCCAAACGTGGGTAAGTTAAACGGGAAGAGAAAATTCCTCCCATGAATGTTTTAATCCGTGAACCAAACGGGGCCTTAGGGAATTACCCTATCACTTCCCACCTTGCCTACCATACTTCCAACCCATCTCCTTTCCTTTTCAACAATTATAAATTACATATTCAGCCATTCTATTTCGTAATAATTATTCATTTTCTTTTGAAAAAAATTATATTTAATGTTACGTTTTAATAAACATTTATGTTTTCGTTTCGTTTTGATCACCTGTCGTTAAAAAATTAATGATGGTATTGACATGTCACCATAAGGTAATACCACATCATTATTGAAAACTAAAAAAAATTTACCACACTAACAATTTTGTTTATTTTTAATAGTCGATGATCAAAATAAAACCAAAACATAACATTAAATATAATTTAAAAAATAGTTGAGTGACCAAAATGCAACCAATATAATTTTTGGGTGACTAAATACATAACTTACCCTTATTTTTATTTTCTGTGCCTTAACATACAGATTCACTCCTCAACTTTACGATTTTTCATAATTTAATATATGAATTTAGTTTTTTTATCAATTTAATATATAAATTTGGAAAAATGTTAAAATTCATATTTTTAGATCAATTTATTTTTATCATTTTAATCAATTTTAAATTAATGTATGATCCGATTAAATTAAAAATTAAAAAATGTATTTAAATCTAACAATGTTGGTTAATGTAGTTTATGCTAATATGGAATTTTTCTTGAAGATAACCCCTGCCGCTCATTAAGAAAAGTCGGTGTTAGCAACTTAACTATAATAATTAGTTCTGTCTGGACTATTTCAATTATTTTTTGATTAAACGACTATTTAAATTAACTAATAGCTAATATCACTAATTATTTCAAGACATAATGCAACAAAATAACCTTAATATTTGATAGTATTGTTAAATTTATCCGTATTTTTTTAAAACATTTGACCTCTTAACATTTTATTTTGGGTCAAAAAACACTCTCGTTTGATGAAAATCGTTAATCAACTAACAGTCAGCGCATAGAAATAACATGGCAAACTTACCTAACTCGCACACTGACGTAATAATGATGTGGCAAAGGTGATGATGCGGCAAATGCCACGTCTGCAAAATTTAATTTTTTTTAAATAATTATATTAATTTTTAAATAATTTTCAATCAATAAAAAGATGACACATGTCATCATTTCATTGGCTTAAAATATAAAATTGTAAAATTTGCCTTCCAGTATACCATTCTGGCCGTCCGGTTCGGCCGACTTCCGTTTGGGTATTCCACTGTACAACACCATATCTATAAACCAATAGAAACCAAAAGCAATTAATCAGTGCCTCAAAACAACCCAATTTCAATTCAAAAAAAATCCATAAATCAAACAGAAACCAAAATTAATAAATTACCCAAAAAGCTAATGCATTTATCCTAAATTACAAACAAAAAATGAAACAAGTGCTCTTATACTGAAATCAATTAATAGAATCTCGAGAAAATACGAATCAAAACTAGATGCTAAACCCTGTAAAACCACGAAAGAAAAGAGAAAAGGGTACCTGGAAGTTGTCATTGATCAAACTTGTAGAGATCTATCTCAGCAATAATTGGGATGGCGATATGTTGAGATGCACATTTCCTACACAAATAATATGATTCACCGGTTCATCATCAGTAGATCTTTCCATTGGGTCTCAAGAACTTTGGCCTCTGTTGTACAAGAACACACAAATTTTGATGATTAAAAATGAATTTTTTCCCAAAAAAAATGTTGAAGAGAAAAGACCTTTGTTTGCAAATCTGGTTTGGATGTTGTGTACAAAAGCTTCCATTTTCTATTCAACAAGTTAGATTCAAGAGGCTCATTTCCCCTATTCACTCCTCGAGTTTGAGTGCAACCTGATTCATAATAGAAACCCTATTAATGAACAAGCAAGACCAAACGAAGAAGATCACTTGATTTTCATGAAGAAAACAACAAAGGGTCTGCCATAATTAACCTGATCCACACGCTCTCGATCCTCTGGGGTAGCCTCGGTGCCACGATCGAGAGGTGATATGACATAAAAAAAGCTCATCTTTGAGGCCCTTCACATCTCTCTCTTGTGTGAAAAACATAGAAAAGAATGAAACTTTAGTCCTCCGTTTGAGGGACATGGGATTTTGTGATGAGAAAGGGTTGATATTTGTAGTGGGAGTTGTTGATGAAAGAAGGGGGTGAAGAGGGAGGGAGAAAAGACTGGTGGGTTCGTTTGGAGTTTGGAGATGAGGTTTTAGCAGAGTGGTAATGGCAATGTTGATAGTTGGGGAAGAAGAAGATGTGAGTCATTATTGATTCGAGAAAATGAAAGTTTTTAATAGTTCTATTAAACAAGCACCGACTCTCTGATTGATAACAAATAATTAAATATTAATATTAATAATAAATTTAAAAAAAATTATTTTATAAAAAATCTAATGTAACAGTACCACATCATCAAGCATTATGACATCGACAGTTACGTCAGTTTCTTCTTCCATGTGTATATGCTTCGTCAGCATTAGGCGTTGTCTATTAGTTGACTAATTATTTTCATTTAACGAGAGTTTTTTTGACCTAAAATAAAATGTTAATAGATCTAATATTCTAAAAAATTAATATGAATAAATTTGACATCACTGTCAAACACTAAGGTTATTTTATTATATTATGACTTATTTTAAATATAATGATATTGCATAAAGCCATACTGCGGTGCGGTAGGAGAAAAATCTGGAGAGTCTTGTTAGAAAAAACATATTATAAATAAAAAATAAAAAAATATATAAATTAATTTAAATTATCTAAAAATTTCAAAGAATGATTGGTTTCGATAGGACTTCCCCTTTTAATCCAGAAGCTGGGATAAATATTGAAAAAAAATACTAACATAAAACAAAATATAAAATATATTATTCCAGCAGCTTGGCATTATATATTTATATTGGCATAGGTCGACAATGGATTCAAGCTGTATGGTGAATGGGAAAAGTCGTCGGTCGACACCCACACCACACCTTACTAAACAATGAGCCTACCTGCCTTTTATCAAACAGCTGTGTCTTGCCTTTATATTGGAGTCAAAGATATGCATTGTTTGGCAATATCTTAATAAATATACCTATGTACATCTTAACATTTAATTAAAATTATGTTGATGCGATCCATCAGTTATTTCAATAATAAAATAAAATGTTATATTTTCTCAAAAATTTTAAATTCGAATAATTATATCTGTAGAGTATATACATTATCAATTAATTAAAATTTTAATTATATTATAATTATCCTGAACTTTAAAAAATGCATGTGGAAGGATTTTGTGGGCCATGACGCCAAACTCTGCAATTAGGATGTCCTTGGGATGGTGCCTGTATCCGAAAAATTGAGAGAGGGAAGACTACGGTGGTTTGGGCATGTCCTTAGACGACAACCGTCAGATGCGGTCAGGAGGGTAGAGTCGATTACAGTCGACGGTGCCAGAAGGAGAGGACGACTAAGGAGGAAGTGAGTAGACTGCTTAAGATCTGATTTGAAGAATTTAGCCCTTACCGAGGACATGACCTCTGATAGGAAAGTATGGAGACATAAGACCAGGGTAGCCGAGTAGTGTGGGTCACAGCCATAAGGTGTAGCATCTCTGTCTTCTTTTTAATGTCTTTGTAGTAATTTCCATGACTTATACTTTTTATACGTTTCTGACATTGGAATTTATGAAGGCTTAGAACTAGGGTAGCGGAGTAGTGTTGCCTTAGTTTAGGTTTTAACCCATTTGACTTTATTCCTTCTCTTAGCTTGCTATCGATGACTTCTGTGTATCCTTCTCTTCATATTTTCTCTTTTTAAATTTATTCAGGTCTTACGTTTCTGTCTATATGCAGAGATTTTTACGCAGGGATTACTTCCAATTACAGACGCGCATCTGAAGACTACATAAAAAGATTGTTCAACTATGTATTTATTTATTTATTTATACATGCATTATGTTTTATATTTATTTTTAATTTTCTGACTGCCGAAGGTCTTCTACGAAAGCTGCTCTCAACCTGGCATTGGGGGCGGCCTACTACCCTACCTCCCCTTACCTTATTACATATGTGAATATGGTTTTATTGTTGTTGTATACAAATGAAATTGTATTTGTTACCAATATGTACCTTTTACATAGTTTGTTTATAGAGTATGTTTTAGCCAATAATTAGACATTGGAGTGATCATTAAATATATTACTAAATTTTAGGAGTTGGGGGCAACAAAACCCAAATGTTAAAACAGCTGTGGGCTCTTCTAGCCTCGGGCCAAAGCCTATAGGATCCTACAATGAATAATATATATCGATATACGCTATTAATATATTAATAAAATATATTAGTGTCATATATCGGTATATATGATAAAATCTATAAATAATTATTAAATTTTAATAAAATAATTTTTTTATTATTGGACTTTAAAAAGCTACAAGATGGATAGTAGACTTTAAATTTTATTATAAAATAGATACTAACGATTACAAATTATCAAGGAAATGACATAATATGTTAAATTGATCGAAAACATTTAAGGTCATAAGTCATAAATATAAAATAATTATCTCTTAAGCCCAGTCAATGTAGTATAACCACACAATCACAACATACATGCGTCAATCGGACAAACATTTTCTTACAAAATTTTATGAACATTATTATTAATTATAGCTAGTTCTTTATCTTAAAACATTATACGAAGACATACTGATTTTTTAAGTAGCTTACAACCCTTAATAAGTTCTCATCATATGCTTCGGAAGGTTGTATTCAAGAGGAATTATTATTCTCTTATATACTTAAGGTGCTCTTATCATTTTATTTTTAGTGGTATTTTAGTCTCATTTAATCTTTAATTTCACGAGTCTCAAATTTATGTTTATACGATCTACTAATAAGCCCCGCAAATAATTCATCATCTTTATGTATTTAAATTATAACTTAATCCCAAGTTTGAGTGGGATTGAGCTTGGATTGAGCCTAATAGCTGGTAAAAGGGGCATTTTTATGTTGCAATCAAAGTTAGGAGGACCAAGGGGAGAATTATACCTTTTAGAATTTTAAAAGCTGAAATCCTTATTTGGTTGATGATATCACGTCCGGGGCGTCTCTTTTCCCCGCTCTCGTTTGTCTTCTTCCTTCTCATTCATCTCATCTTTCTTCCTCTTTAAGAAGTAAGCAGAGGTTGGAACTTGATAGTCAACAATTATAGTATGGTTCAGCGAAGGTAAAAATCGAAACTAACATCTTTAGAGCTTTCATTTGAGACAAAAGTTCAATTTTTGGTCATGGTGTCCAAATATGGGTTTAGTGGGGGTTTAGAAACCTAAGAGATACCAGCTCGTTTTTTAGAGATTCAATCTTCAAGAAATGTTCTAAACTCTTTTATAAGTTTCCAAACAACATTAATAATCCTTATGCTTGAAATTTTTGTCTAGTGAGAGAAGTTTAAGAAAGCTCCAAAGCTTAGAGAAAGGAGAAGCTAGTGCTTGGTTGGACTTTGAATGTTTCCAACAACTTAGAAATCCAATGTAACTTAGTTCTAACTCAACTCTACCACATGTAGATCACTAGGTGTGTTGTTAGCTTGCATGAGTCGTGAAGCATGTTCATGGTATATTTCAATAATTGGTGCTTTTCAACATGTTTATGGACCTATTATGACCCCCTATCATTAGACATAATACTCTAATAACATTTGAGGACCTTAGTAGGCCGTTTGGATGAGCTAAAGGGAAAATTTTGTGCCTAAAGCATGAAATTTTTGGGTACGTATATCGGTATTGGAATAACAATACCGATATTGTTCTTCAATAGAAACAAGTGGATTTTGGGCTAGAAGTATCGATACTCATACAATGGGTATCGATATTGTAGATAAGATATTGATAATTGCACAGTGGTATTGATACCAAATTCACTTAGTAGATTATAGTAGCCATTTTTGGTATTGATACTCATGTGAGTATCGACACTGAGGGCAGAGTATCGATACTCGCAATAGGGGTTTTGATACTTAGGTATTTTTCAAAACATCAAAGTCAAATTTAGTATCAATATTCAAGAAAGTATAGATACTAGACCTTTGTTATCAGCCTTCAATAAGCCAGTAGTATAGATACCAAGATGTTGGTTTCGATACCTAGAGGTCAGTACCGATACTGAGGGCTTTAGTATCGATACCCACTAACATTTCTGGGTAGGAAACCCAAGGGTTTTAAGGGATATATTTGAGGGACCCAATTATACGAGAATACCATGAAATAAAACCTGCAACTGAGAACAATAATAAACTCAGAATAGCTAGGATGACATAAAACTAGTCTTGTTTGATGCTCGAGAAATAGTCAGGACACCTGAGTCACTTTAGCGTATGAGGATCATATAGTCCGGATATATCCCAGTTAGTGCCAAGGCGCTTTAGTTGCCAACTGGGCACAGATGCCTCAAGACTCAACGAATTAAGTTGGTCGGGTGTATGTTTCTGATGTAGTTCCAAATCTCACCCTAGATACCGATGGGTATATTACGAAGACTAGACTAGAGGGGTGTGAGCTCCGAGATACAGAACCCTCAGCCACACCATGATGCTACGTCATGATATGATCGCCAATAGCAAAGACCCGGAGAAGTACCCAAGTGGCCCCATCACACGAGAAAGGGCTAAGGAGTTTCAAGCAGCCATGGAGAGTATGTTCACATCATGTTTGGAACGTGATGAAGAAGGAATAATAAGGGAGGAACACTTTACTTTGCTCATGCATGAATTTGCATGAGAATTTAAAGTTTGCATAACATTCATTGCATTTAATAAGTGTGATGTTCATTCAAGCATGCATTGCATTTAAATCATCTAGTTCATTCATCAAATTAGTTCATTTATTAGATTAACTCTTAATTGTTTCATGCATGTTTTCAATTAAATATTGAATAAAGTTCACCTTTATGTCTAGGTGCATGAGAGAAGTTGAATGGTTTCATTATATGCAAGAATGTTAGTCAGAATGTCTTCCAATTCTGGGTGCAATACATATGTGTTTGGTTATAGAAATCAATTTGACATTATTCCTCTATCTCTTAGCTTTCCAACTCCTTTTGAATCACCTTAATCCGATATCGGGAGCTTGAGATATGATCGATTTATTGAAGACAGTGCAGGCTGGAATTGTTACGGGAATTTTATGCATGGATGATTTGGATGAGTTTGAGCCAAGGGAGAGTCTTTTCAACTTCAGCCAAGTGACAAGCCATTGAAGGACTCTTA